CATTCCTGGGAAACCAGGTGCTGTGTAACATGGTCAGCATCCCGCTAGGGAGCAGGAGCTCAGCACCTTGTTAGCAGCTGTGTTACAAGGGCGCTGTCTTTATGAAGCACCATAACTGGCTTGGAGTGAGGCTCTGAACTGAGCGGCGTGCAGGGCTTAGTGGCCTGACCGACCTTGCCCTGCTTTTGACCCCACAGGAGACACAGGGCTGGGCTGCAAGGGGCTGCAGGCAGGATGCTCCCGTGCTGGGCGCAGGGCAGGAGCATTGTGGGATGCACGGTGTCCCACAGACCTCCCCGCTGCTTCACCTGCTAGTGGGTGCAGAGGCTTCCTGGGCTGGCAGAGGCATGCACCAGGCCATGCCACTGCGCCACGTGCCCTGCCTCCTGCGCAGAACGTGACCTAGCTGCCTTCGCGCCGTGCGGAGCTGACCTGCTTGGCTTCGGCTGCACGTGGCTACAACGCTTCTGGCTCAGGAGGCAGCGTGCGCACAGCAGCATGGCGTGGCCCAGCTGGACACCACGAGCAAGTGTGAGAGATGCCCTTGGTGAGCGTGTGCCTGGCCCACCACGCGACAGAAGTGGGATTGTGCTCAGCCCCTGCACAGAGTGGGTGGAAAGCAAGGCGGTGCCATGATCCCTCCTCCTCGTCTGTGCAGGGGCTGGGCACAGTCTGCTCCTCAGCACCTGGCTGGACGCTAGCAGGCATTGAGGTGAGCCAGGTGGTGGGTGCCTCAGACCTGGTGACCCAGCAGGGCAGCGTCTCCCCCGCTGGGTGGGTGCTTGGGCAGACTTCCCCCTTCCAGGAGCTGCAGCCATTCAGCAGGGATCGAGCCCCCCACAGCATCACCGTCGCACAAGGTACAGTAGTCGTTGCTGCAGAAGGACAAGCTTTCCAGCTCCAGAGACTTCTGCAGCATGTACAGGTCAGCCTCGCCCTGCTGCAAGTAGAGCAAAGGGCTTCCTTCCATGTCAGGGCTGCCATCTTCCATCTCGCTTCCCTCCAACGGGGCCAGGGCCCCTGCTTCCGAGTGGTCGTGTGGAAACAACGCTGCCAGCCCCACCGCTACCTCTTTTGCACCCACGTACGGCTGCGCTGGGCTTGAGGCAGGGGTGCAGTCATCCTCCTGCAGAGCCACACTGGGCTTTGCCAGCGACTTTAAGGAGATCTGGGAGATCACTTCATGAGCACTCGGATCAGCCACGGGCTCCACAGACACTTTGCTGAGGTCACTGGCTTCATGTCTTCTGACCTGGCCACATGCCTCCTTGGGGCCAACCCAGTCCTAGAGCAAGGAGTGATAGAGACAGGACACCCTGCTTAGAGGCAGGCTGGGGACCCTGCACAGGGGCTCTTACGCCCTTCCTTCCAGCTGGGCTTGGCAGTGGGGAGCAGGGCCCAAATTGGCCGCTCGTCTGAACCTCCACGGAGCCAACCCTGAATAGCGAAGTGAGGATTCAGGTCCCTGATCCCCTTGGGGGAAGGTCTTATCCACCAGGCCTCCCGCTTCAGCCCTCAACTGCACTGCGAGCGGCTCTGCTGCCTGAGCTGCACGGACGCAGGGAGCGGTGCCTGCAGCCAGCGCGAGGCAAGCCAGGGCCAGGGGGAACAAGCAAGAGGCAGCTGCACTAGCGAGGAGGCCGCTGCGCCCCGTGTGCTTTGCTTCTGCAGGTCCCAGGGGCGGGCCCCCATCCTCCTTCTCTGCGGTCGGACTCAGAGCCAGCTTCTGGAGAGGGCTGCAGTGCCGAGCAGCCCCTCGCTGTCTGCCAGGAGCAGGAGTGACTGATCCTGCAAACCACCTTCCCACATCATGAGACAGGTCGCGAGGAAGGAAGGGAGTTTTCTGTTACCTTGAAGTTCCCGTTGTGCAGGGTGTAGAGGGGCTGGAAGAAAGCAGCAGGGGTGGGAATGCTCAGGCAGGTGATGCTCTTTGCCCTGGGGAGAGAAAGCGACACTTCCTAGCTCCAATCCACAGAAACGCCCCGTGTATTGCACCAACAGCCTGCAGGGTCACCCACACAAGGCCCTTTCCCACGGCTCCCGCTGTCTGCCTGCACGGCTGGGTGGCTGCGAGGGGGTGTGCGTCGTGTGTGTGAACAGGCAGCGCAGCGTGCTGGGAGACAGCCGGATTTCTGATGGCTAAAGTGTCTGGTTTCAAGTCCTCTCTGCGATGTGTCTAAGTCTTTTGAGACCTGGTGTACTGCAGTTTAACCGCGTTAGACAGCTGCCGGGGCTGCTTCCACTCGCAGGCATTGAGCTCACACACCACTTCGATGAGAAACCTTCCAGGAGCGGGGGCAAGGGGCTCCTGATATTTAGGTAGCAGAAACCCTCCCTGTTCCTCTTGCCATCTAGCACAGGCCACAATGAGCTCCGCGGCCCCCTCCCTGCCTGCTGGCCTCTCTGCGCAGGGAGCGCGGGGCAGGCTCGGGTTGGCTCTGCCCGTCCCGGGGCTTGTTGGCCGTCGTGAGACATCCTGGGGCTCCTGGCGGGTTCTGCCGGGAGCTTCGAGCTGCGTTCCCTGCTCTGGTCCTGAGCTCAGCCCAGAGCCCAGGAATGGGATCTGCGTCACTGAGCCTGATGGCACTTGACTATTGCAGATCCCAACGGCCGGTGGCCGGGGAAAGCCTCAACAGCTGTCAGACATCAGCCCTCAGAGCTCACCGACTGCTCCACACCAGTCGTCCCTAAGCTATCCACTTTACCACCATTTAAAACCTATTCAAAATATTTCTTTTATCCTTAAGAGACACAACCCAGCGTCTTGGCTTCATTTGGGTTCCCTGCAAGGCACTTAGCTAATGAAGAGAGACCCAGGGAAGGGGGCTATATCTCAGGCATGTAAAGAGAGATGGTCCTGGAGTCTTTGCACAGCACACTCCTCTAAACCCAAGGTATTCACAGACTGGAGTCTTGGAGGGGAGACATGGCCCTAATACATGGATATATGATTTATACTCAAACTAGTAAAGGCAGCAGCCCTTGCATGAGAGTCTGAAACATACCTGGAGGGAAACTTGCAGCTAAACAATAGGTAGAGTATAGCGCCGAGACATACGGGAATGAACAGAAACTGCAACGCACTGGGGCTAAACGGCTCTTCAGGCAGCTGCACCAAAGCTGGAAAAGAAATTATTCCATTAGTAGAATCAACTCACAAACGAGCCATAAAAAGACTGCAATGCATCCAGATACGTTCAAGAAGCGATGCAAACAACACAAGCTGCTAAAACCTTGGGAGAAAGCAACACAGGTATAAAGAGTGGAAAGATATCCACTCAGATTCATGAATCTCTCCCCAACAGCCTTTCCATTCCCAGTGTTTCTCTCTCTCTTTTCAATAAAGTGACTTTCAAGATCATAGGACGCGAAACAGGACAAAACGCTCTCTGCACCTGGGAGAGCAGCTCTCTGAAATGCTGTCATCTGGCTCCACTCGCTCCACTGACTCTCGTAAGATGTCTCGTCTTGGGAAGTTTTGCAGCGAACTCTTGCAACATAAGTGATGCCAGCTTGAAACTCTGTGGCCTCAATGTCGACGCTTGTTGCCGAGTTGAACAGGTTTTTGTGCTGGGCTTGCTGCAAGTGATGACAGAAAAAGCTCAATTAGTGCATGGCAGAGGCTGAGACTCTGCTCGGCCCTACCTCCTTAGCGGCATCTCGATGGACTGCACCGTGTGGGGGGCAGGTGGGGTTCAGGAGGGACACTCCCCTGTCTGAAGTGTCAGTACCTTGTAAGGTACCCATCAACCTCCTCCTGGGATGCCAGGTGCCCAGGCAACCCCAAATACCAGTGCCCGGAGCGTCCATCAGAGCCAGGGGCAGGGGTTGTGCCCAGCTCCTGCCAGCGGAGGCTGGTGTAGTTACCTCCCAGGACTCGTTCTGCTCCTTGAACTCCAGCTCGTACTGCAGGATCTGCTCCAGGAAGGCAGGCACGCTCCACCAGAGCTGGCACTTGTCGGCACTGAAGTTGCTCTGCAGGCTGGAGGGGGGGTCACACTTAACTGCAAGAAGACAAATGCGTTACTCCCAGTGCTTCCTTACAGGGCAGCCACGGGCAGAGGGCACCTTCCTCAGCTGGCTGCGGCCACAGGAGGTAGCGGGGGCTCTCAGCATCTCCTCATCCTGGGGCTAGCAGGACACTGGCTCAGCCCCCGGAGCAGGTCAGAGCTCGCCAGGGAAGAAGGGTCCTGGCAGGGCTGCCTTGCCAGCCAGCGACCACGTGCACCATGCTCCAGCCCTGCCTGCGCACGCAGAGACCCCTGAGCTGCAGGACAGCGAGCAGAGGAGCTTGTGAGAGACGGCTCCCACCGCAGGGCATCCCCGTGGCGCTGAAAGGCAGCTGTCAGGCAGCCACGTGCTCCTCTGGGCACAGTCCCCAGACCCGGGTCGCTCCTCTGTCCCAACCAGCAGTGCTTCCACGCTGTGGGGAGCCATGCCCAGACTAGAGGTCTGGAGGGGGCATGGCCTCGCTCCCCGGGGCAAAGAGGAGCAGGGGAGCGAGAGCCCTCAGGCCCAGCAGGGCTGCTGGAGGCGCCGGGGCTGCCCCAACCCCAGCATTAGCCGGCTCAGGCTCCCTTGCTGGTAACCGGGCAGGCCAGGCTGCTCGGGCCCCATCTCCCTCGGGCCCCCCCTCCGCAGGCGCCGGGCGGCCCCCGACTCACTGTGCAGCCGGGGCTCGTACTCCCGGAAGGCGACATACGTGCGATTGCCCTCGGAGAAGCTGCCGTGCAGAGACACGCGGTAGCAGTCCAACTCGCCGAAGCGATTCGACACGCGGATGGAGCAGCGATGCCGGCGCGGCGAGTCCCCGCTGGCAGTCAGCACGCAGCTGCTGGTCTCCTCGGGGATCAGGCTGCAAGAAGCAGAGGCTGAACCTGTGTCCGTGCTGTGGGTGTGCGTGCGGGGGCTTTGCGACCTCCACCGTCCGTACCCGTGCCGGGCTCAGGCTGGCCGGGAGCAGCCCGGGGCTCGGGGCTGGTCCTCCCCACCCCACACCGGTGCGGACGGCACAGGGCAGCCCCGCCGCCCGGCTCCAGCCAGCTGCGGGCAGGTAGCGGAGCCGGCGAACGCGGGAGGCTGGCGGCACAGCCCTACCCAGCTGAGGCAGAGGCAGAGGCAGGCTTGGCAGCCACGTGCCAGGGGCTGGCGGAGACTCGCTCGCACCCCTTTGCAGACCCGCCGATGCGAGGGCCTTCCCGCCTGCCAGCGGGCAGCAGGGAGCTGGGCCCGACGGGGTCGTGGCTGACGCCCCCCCCCCCCACCCTCCCCTCGGCCGAGCCTGCCGCCCCGGGCAGGGACCCTACCGCGCATGGGCCTTACTCGATGAAATGCAGGTAGAAGGGCCCGTCCCCCACGGGCCCGTCCGTCACCCACGTGCAGTCCGCCCGGGTCTCGTAGTTGTTCAGGCAGCTCAGGTTGCCCGGAAGCTCCTCTGCGGAGGAAGGCCAGAGAAGTCCTGCTGGTCAGCGGCCGTGGCCAGGCCCCAGCCCCAGCCCCTGCCCCAGAAAGTCCACTGCTCCCTCGCCCGCTGCGGGGCCCAGCTCCCCTCCTCCGCGCACCTCCCCTACTGCGGGGACACGCTCCCTCCTGTGCCTCCCCGGCTGCGGGGACACTCAGCGTGGCCGAGCACCGCACGTCCTCGGGAGACGCCCCCGGGGCCGTGGGCAAGAGCACGAGCAGCTGCTCCCCTCACCTGTCCCTTCCCCTTCTCTGGCGAGTGCAAGGGCAGCGAGGCACAGCTGGAGGTAGGTGCACTGGGTGTCCTGGCCCATGGCAGAGGGGTCTGAAATACAAGATGCATCTGGGAAAGACCAGCTCCCTGCACCTGCCGGCCCTGCTGGGCCCTGGCCGTGCCCCTGCCCCTGCCCCTGAAGGGCTCCGCGCGGGGCCTGCTCGCCGCCTCGCCGCCAGCACCCAGGGTGCGCTCCGTGCCCGGGTCCCACCCGCCGTCGAGGGACGCGTTTCATCCCTTCTGGCCCTGCCTCCCCCGGCGGCCGCGGCTGCAGCCAGGCCTGCGAATGGCCGCGCGTGGTGGACGCCACGAATGAACAGTGCCTGCAGCTTCGCGTGGCAGCCGCTGGCCAACCCTCCTCGGGGTGGGAAATCTTTTCTCCACCCAGCTGTCCGTCTGCTTGACTGCTGTTTAAGCCCACGGCCACCTGTCCTGCCTTTTGCGGAAAGAGAAGGGTTTCCTCCTTCACAGCAGCCTTTCAGCTGCCGTCATGTCTCCACCTCCTTGATGTCCTTTCCCGCTGCAGGAAGCTCACCTGGCTCCTTCAGCCTCCCCTGACAGGCCCGTTTCCCAGCCCTTTCACCACCTTCACCGCTTGTCTCTGGATCCTCTCCAGCTCCTTTACATCCCTCTTACCCGGGGGTGCCCCAAACTGGAGGTGGCTCCGGCTGAGGCCCAGGTAGCAGCCCTATTCCTCGCAGGCAATGCTGAGAGCTCACGCGAAACATCCCAGTCAGGAACGGCTGGTGTTTTTGGGACGCCCCCGTGTTCACAGAAGGGCCCCCATGTCTCTGTGGCCAAGCAGAGGATCCAGCGCCGCGCCTGCGCTGTTCTGAGCAGCCAGCGCATCGGTAGCAGACCCAGGGAGCTGACAGCCGCTCCGCCAAAGCCATGCGGGTAGCGGAGGAGCAGGCTTGTGCTGCCCCGTCACCCCGCTGAGAGCGAAAGGGGAGGCCCAGGATGGAGGATGGAGATCTGGCCCCGTGAGAGCAGGCCCACAGAGCCCGGCTCGTACCGCCTTGCTCACGCAGGCTGCAAGGGGTCAATGCCAGCGAGGGAGTAAGCGAAAGGACAGCGCTGGCATGAGAGCAAACAGGGACACCGGCTGCAAATACATTCAGGCTGGAGATGAGGTGATTCCCAACTCTGCCAGCAGCGCGGTGCCGGAGTGGGACCAGGGACCTGCCGTGGCGCGAGATGCCGCTGGGCCAGCGCGTGCGAGGGGCGACGCGCCGTGGCTGCCTGCAGTCGCAGGGGCAGGACCCAAGGGCCCAGATCTGTCCTGCCAGTCCCGTGTCCCAAACAAGAAAACCAAGTGGAGCAGCTCCTGTGCTTCTTCCCTACAACTCTGCCTGCTTCGGGCACCCCTGTGCCAGCACCGCGGTGCGGCTGGCTGAGCGGTGGGTGGGCTTCGCCACCATGAACCCACGTACCCTCCACCCGCAGGTTCACAGTGAAGATCCAGCTCTGCTGATGATGTGTTTTGCGCGGGGGCTGTGGAGGGGAAATGTCAATTAACCAGCTTCAGCAGAGGGAGGCACAAAGGCCTCTTCCTTATCATTCTATCAGGGCTGCTAATGATGCCAGCGATAAATGCAGCAAGTGACTAAATATGAAATAGAGAGCGATGCACGAAGGCACGCACACACTGAGGCACACGTGTGCACCTACGGACACGCTCAGGGCCGTGCAGCCCTTGCTAATTAAAGCAGAAACTCTGCCAGGGTGTTGCCGGTCGACTCGACATTGCAGAGGTTCTCAAGGGAGCTGTGATGATTTGTGAGCTAGGATCACACAGCGTGTAGTAACCCCGGCTCACCTGCACAACGGGTTGTAACACAGCTGAAGGCAAGGCCATGCAAAAGTCATTAGTGTAGCTGTGGTTCAGAGATGTCAGATGAGCACCTGAGCACAACATGCCTTTCCTCTGGGTGCAGGAAAGAGGCAGATATGGCCTAGGCTAAACACCAGTCAGGCCAGTAAGAGCCATCACGAAGCAAACCCGGCTTCTTGGTCACTCTCGTGCGGACACCGGATGAACACAGGCCTCCTGCAGGGGCCACGGTAAGAGCTAAAACAAACCTTGGACGAGTCGCTGGGCACAGACGAGTGGAAGCAGAGGTGGTATTGCCAGTGCCGCCCCAGTAGGGACACGTGGCTGGTCCCATGCCCACTTCTAGACACTCCTAGAGTCCACCCAGTTGCAAAGGGCTTGGAAAAGGGCTATGGGAATGGCTCATGCCTGGGAAATCTGCCTCACAGGGCAAGACCGAAGCCACGTGCTTGTTGCTCTCACCACGACGCATGCTCTGTGCCCACCCGCTGTGCCAATGGCAGAGCCACGGCCCTTCCCTGGAGCCCGTGCGCCCTTCTGGCTGGAGCAGAAGCTGTGGGGAGCGCGCTGAGCACCTGTGCTGGGCCTGACGTCGGACCAGGAGCCCAGCCGTTCCCTTCTGGCTTTCCCATCTACGACCTCTCCTGTGCCAGCCTGCACCCGGGGCAGGGCCCGAGCAGCCCCTCGGAGCCCTGGCTCTTGGGCTCCTCCTGCCTATTCATAAACAGGGACTGAAGGACCTCCGTGCCTGCCGGGAAGGCAGTTTCTGGGGAGGGAGAATAGCAGCTCTCTGCAGCATGAGAGACAGGCTGGCTCTGAGCACCGCGCTGCACGGCGGGGACGCTGCGTGCTGCCTGAGGCAGGGTCTGGCTGAGCAGAGGGCACCAGGCAGCTGTGCGGTGCTGTGTGGCCCCTCTCCCGGGAGCAGGACACGGAGAGGGCGGCAGATGTGACGCTTTGTGCGACGGGGGCCGAGGTGGGGTGACACGGGGAGTGGGAGGTGTGAAGAACGCCCCAGGCAGGATGGATCTGTCCGACAGCCGGCGGCGATGAGAGCACAGACAAGAGCAGGAAGCATGGGCGTGAGACCTGTGACATGCCAGCTCCCCCAGCATGTGTCAGGGCATGAGCTCGAGGGCTGGGGAAGGCAAAGCTCTGCATGGGATGGGTGCCGGGAGCCGGGATGCTTGCTTCCCATTGCCAGCCATGCTTCTGCCTGCCAGATAACCAAGACATTGGCACGCGCCTATGTCTGCGTCCCCCCTCCTTCCTCCACGCATGCGCTCCCTTGTTTCCATCCGTCGCTGGTTGACTCACGTCAGCAGAGGCCCCGTGAGCAATGCCAGGGGACCCTAGTGCGAGCAGGCGGCCGGCTCTAGTTCCTGGAACCACATTCCTTCCACACGTGCTGACACCAGCTGTAAGTGGGTCACACAGCCCTGAGCACAACCGCCTGCTCCCGCGCGAGCGTCTTCAAGAGCCACCTCCACCCAGTGCCTCGGTCCTGCCCGAGAGCAGAGGGCAGAGGGGCACGGGGCTGCGCACGCTGGGCTGCTCCTGTGCTCAGGATCCCCGTGTCACGACCAGCCGCCATGCAGACGTTCATCTACAGACATGTTCATCTCAAACATGCTTCCACATACACGGCACGCGTGGCCCAGCTCCATGCCCCCGCAGGGTGGCAGTGGCTCTGCTCCCCGTAGGATTAAACCGCAAGCTCCTCTGCTCATCCCGGCACATGTGCAGCCCAGACATGCGGCAGGCATGATACTTAATACCAAGGTGCAACAGTTCAGGGAGTAATTCCTACCCGCTATGTACCTGTCCCTACACCATGGAGCACGCATGCACGATATAACGGACACGTGGGGGGCACACGTCCCAACCTGCGATGGGTGAGCATATCTCCTGCTAGGGGCAGGAGATTACTGGGAAAGTATCACAGATTACAGCAGACCACACAGCAGCCAGCCTTTTCGTCCTGTCAGCCTCGTGGGGCTATGTTCCCGGCGTCTGCCAGGAGAGCTGCGCTACAGCAAATCCGACAGCCTTAAGCCCCAGAGTTTACAGCTGTGCAAAACCTCTTTTCACGGGTGAAAAATGCAAGCAAAAGAATGACCACCCCCAGCAATACCGTCTCGCCCGGTGCTGGCAGCACGAGCATTCGCTAGCCCTCCTCAAGGTTCGTGTGGCCGGGGCTCCCCACGCGGCGCCGGGAGGGCGAGGTTTCCTTTGAGCACGGCCCTCCGCGGGGCGAAGCCTCTCACCGAGCAGCCTGCACTTGGCTTGGCAGCAAAGCTAGTGCTGCTAAACGTGGCTCCTTGCTCTGGGATCTAATGGCATAAAGCTGCAGCGACCCGCCTCTGTCCACAGGGTCCCGACGGTCCCACGGGGCGAGAAGCGCGGCCGTGGTCCGTGCCTCGCGCTGCCTGCGGCTGGTTAAGGCTGCAGTTGCACTAGTAGGCTCCACCTGCGAGGAGGTGAAAGATGGAGCACAGAAATAGGTTACGCATCCTTACCAGCTCAGAATAAACTTCAGCCTTCACGCCGCCTCTGTTCCTTGATAGCTGGGGTGGCGTGGTTTGCTCATCAGGCAGTGGCAGTTCTGGTATAATAAAGCAGGGCTTGCCGTGCTTGATTTTAAAGATAGGCTCAATAACCAATGAAAATCTTCTCTGAGGTGATCAGCCCGATATGAAATAGCCACATTTGCAATAAGTCACCAGTGCTGGAGCGGCTGCAGAACCGGTGCAAAGAGGTTAACCAGAGAGGACCCACCTATTTTCTGAAGGTCAAATATCACCTGAGAGCCGCGCACATGCATGTACACACACAAGCCTTTTATAAGTGGCCTAAAAACACTTCCTAGCCTGGTGTGAATGCGAGAAGCACGACCGCCACCGCGCCGTGCCCGTGCTCAGCTCGTCTCACCTCCACGCACGCCCACTCGCTGAAGCTGCCGGGCCCAGAGCCGTCCCACCCAACCACTCGGGCACGGCGCAGAGGACGGTGACTGCGAGAGACGGTGCTGCCTTCCCGAGGTCTCCCTCGCCCCGGGAAGGTGGCGAGCCTGGTGTGAATGCGAGAAGCACGACCGCCACCGCGCCGTGCCCGTGCTCAGCTCGTCTCACCTCCACGCACGCCCACTCGCTGAAGCTGCCGGGCCCAGAGCCGTCCCACCCAACCACTCGGGCACGGCGCAGAGGACGGTGACTGCGAGAGACGGTGCTGCCTTCCCGAGGTCTCC